AATGTCATTTTAGATCGCTTTCATTTTCTTACAAAGCTGCTTTTCTTTCAGAGCAGCTTAAAACATTAGAGGCCAATTTAGAGGGGCCGGGTAACCAAGAAGCTAAAAACCAAATTTACAATAGAAAAGGGACAGATTTGTGAGGGGAAAATACTTAATCACAAGAAAATAAAAGATGCATCTAGGGGAAAATTATAAGGAAAAAAATCTAAATTTACCAGAAAAGATTTGAGCACTGTTAAGTTTGGCAAACGTATCAAAAATAAAAACAAAGAGAAACCTGTCAAATCTGGAGAAATAGAAATTTAAGATAAATACCGCTAAGTTAACGGCGCTACTGAAAAGTTCAACCTAGTGATCGTTTTCTACAGTCATGACTTACAGGCGTATTTGTTAATAAAGTTGTTTGGAGAAAAAGGGTAATGACGTCAGCGGAAGTGAGGTGTGTGATTCAGTTGCTAAGCTGCAGCCGAGCAGTAAACGGACCGTCAACAAGTTGCTGTCGCCGTCTCACCGGATCAACTTTAAGCCGTCCGTCGGTGACCGACAGACGGAGGTAAGCTGCCCAACGCCAGACTGCGTCTGCTCGGTCAAAGTTCCGCCGGGGAGCCGCTGCTCCTGACGCCGACGCCCGGCCTCAGTGTTCGGCTAACGTTAGCCCGGAGCTCGGTACGGCGGGTGGTTAGGTCAGCACCTGCCACAGAGTCAGAGTTAACGGGTTAAAGTGGGGAGCAGACGGACCTCCTCTGGTGTTTTAGTCTGAACATGAGCTCGTCTGTGGTTTAATGAGCTTAATGAAGAACCTTAATGAGATTACCTGAAGTTAGCTGAAGCTCCAGGAGAGCAGAGCAAACACTCCTGACCACAGCAGCACTGCTCAGTTTGTTTACCAGTGTTTTCATATGCGTTATGATCTGAGAAAAATGCGCCAGTTTCCATAAAGCAGAGCAGAAATGATCGTTTCAGTCTGCAGACAGTAACAGATGAAGGTTCTTGCAGATTTTAAATATTATTTTTGTGTTAGAAAAATAGATATTATCTAACAGTTTGGATGTAGATGAAGCTGCTGATGAGGATGAGAAATATCTTATTTATCCCATATTTGTTATAGCAGGAAATGAATATCAGACACCAACCGACATCACCTGATAACACCAAACAAGATTTATTCTGTTTGTTCATTTGTAAAATCTTGTGTTTGCAGGTGAAGAATTATGTTATTAAAGTGCTCCTTGAAAAAAATTCAAGGAGTTTGAATTGTGCGGTTGCTTTGAGGTTGTTGATGATGTATCTGCACCGTGTCTTTATGGATCTAGAGAAAGCAGATGATAGAGTGCCACGAGATGAACTGTGGTACTGCATGAGGAAGTCGGGAGTAGCAGAGAAGGATGTGAGGGTGGTGCGGGACATGTATGAGGACGGAGAGAGACAGTGGTAAGGTGTGTGGTGGGAATGACAGATGGGTTCAAGATGGGGGTGGGATTACATCAGGGATCTCCTCTGAGCCCCTTCTTGTTTGCTGTGGTGATGGGGACAGGCTGATAGACGAGGCCGGGCAGGAGTCTCTGTGGATCGTGATGTTTGCAGATGACACCGTGAGCTGCAGGGAGCAGGTCGAGGTATGCTCTGAACACAAGAGGAATGAAAGTCAGTAGGAGGAAAATAGCTGAACCGAAGAGGATAACGTGCCACTCGTCTCGCTCTCATTCACACAATGAGAGAGAGA